GGCAGAAACTGGATGGAACAGGAAAGTTGTTAGCAAAAGAAAAGAAAGGATTGTTTTAGGGAAAGGGGATTGCTCGTGGGGGTGGGGAGAGGATGAAGAGGGTCCACATGACCAGAAAATTCCAGACTGACTGAAAAAGATTACACTCCTGGAGAAGTCTGAAACTGTAATTAGGTCAAGTATTAAGTCTGGGTTCACTGTCATGGGTTTCAGCACAAGTGACTCCACTTTGGGCTTGTGGTTGTCTCTTTCACAGTTTGCTGGGCATTGTGGGATTTGTTGACAGGCACGTTTCTTTATTGTTGTCACTTGTAAGACTTGGAACAGCTTTGCTCCGTGGAAGCTTCTTTTCAAGGGAGCAGATGGTGAATCATTAACAACCTAAGATCTGAAAAATATGTATATCACGTGGGGAGAGAAAAACAAATGCTCAGGAGTGGAGCCTGGATTAGGTGCAGAGTCATATGTCACGAAGCTGGTTCCCAGGAAGTCATAACAGCTTTAGATCATGACAAAGGTTAGAGCTGTAAGAACCATCTCCTCCAAAGCTTTCATATTAGAGGTGAGGAGACAGTGGCCTGAAGGGGTAATGCCTTCCCCAAGGCCATGCCGGAAAGCCAGACTTAGGGCCTCCCTTCCTGGGTAGTGTACCTGCATGTCTCGGACCCTAGATTTCTCAACTTCCACGTCACTGCCCTGGCAGCACTGATACATGTTTTGTAATTTGTGACACTCTCAATAGAGTTAGTTCGTTATTAGACCCAAAATGCGAATCTACGTCTAATTCCAAACAAGTATAGGTTGTGACAGGCTGATGTGCGATGCGAAGGCAAGTACTGCTAACGTGAGATTTATTTTAGCAAAATAATTGTTTGGTTATTTTATAGAGCAAGTAAATGAGTTGGTGGCCTTGATCCCACACAGTGATCAGAGACTCCGCCCTCAGAGAACGTGAGTTACCTGCCTCTCTCCTGTTAATACCTAATTCTATCCCTGGTCCCGTTTTATACATATAAATGCCAGTTTTTGAAAACTTTTATCTGTTCTTGTCAATTCCTCCATTTCCTTTAATACTATTTGCTCAAGGAAGATATCTCTTCCCTCATCACCATCTGGGGGAGGAAACTTGAAGCTAGAAACATTCTGAGGGCCAAGGGAAGGAACTGGATTGGGAGGAATTGGAGCAGAGGTGTCCTGGGGGTTGAAAAAATGTTTCTGTCTACACAGCTCCCCTCTTCAGCGTCCCTTCCCAGATTGCAAACAGCAAAGGCTTCTGCCTCTGCACTCATTCTTGCCTGGTTTGTGGTTCCTAGCCCTTTGACCTTTCCTGTCCCTGCCCCCGTCAGTCCTGGCTGTGCATTTAATCTTAACCGATTGGACCTTGACATCTGACTACCCACGTGGGTCATGTGCTGTGTCATTTGCAGCAAGCAGTATGTCCTCCTGTCTGTCCTGCTGTGCCTCCTGGCATTTGGTTTGGTGGCTTTCTTCCTATTTCCACATTCAGTCCTTGTGGATGATGACGGCATCAGAATGATGAATGTCACATTTAATAAGCAGGACTCCCTTGTAATCCTCGCCATCAAGGTAAGACTTAGGGCCTCCCTTTCTGGGTTGTGTACCTGCATGTCTCAGACCCAGGAAACTTACACTTCTTCCCTCCCTTGCCCTGATGCAGGCCACCCTGAAAATCAGGAACTCCAACTTCTACTCTGTGGCAGTGACCAGCCTGTCCAGCCAAGTTCAGTACATGAACACAGTGGTTGGGTCATATATGACAACTAACGTCTCTCTCATTCCGCCTCGGAGTGAGCAACTGGTATGCTGGTTTTTTTTTAAGGGTCCTCACCCCATAGGCCTGAGAAGAGTGGAGGCTGTGGGAATGCCATAGCCTCTTTACTTTCTTTTTCCTCTCATTTCCACTTATAAGAACTGGTTGATGAGAAAGACCTGGCGAGCTCTGTAATTATGAAAAATTAGAAGGGGGGTGGGGGAATCAGCTAGCATTTAAATATTAGAGGAACAAAAGAATATGTAAAAGAAAGCAATTGGGTACAAATCAAGATGAGGCAAAATGATAGTCTGAGGTCCACTGGCCTCTCCGAAGGGAAGAGGCGGGAAGAATTTGTTAGGGGCACATAGTCTGTGTGAGGGCCAGTCTTAGGGAAACGTGTGTCTGAGATGGAAGGATGGTCCCAGGTCTTTAGATGCTAATGACAGTATTGTTCTGTGTCAGTCCTGCTTGGCCACAGACCGATTCTGGTGTTTTCTTTACAGGTGGACTTTCTGGTGCAGGCGGAGATGGGAGGACCATTTTCCTATGTGTAGTAAGGACGCTGTTCTCTCTCTGTGTTCTCCGCTGGATGAAAGGGATTTAAAGTTGTGCTCAGTTGATTGATTGGGGCTGGTCCTGCCTTAAGGCTCAGCCTTTGGCTCCCTGACTTTGGCTGTCTTGAGATTTATTTGGAGGATGTGTTTTTAGCTGTGTGACTGAAGTGCTGGAATATCTAAAAGAGAACATTAAGCCACTAGAGACATTTCCAAGCTTCAGCATTTATATGATGGGTTTGAAAAAACAGAGTATCTCAGTGTGGGAGGATGCAAGGACACTAGGGATTGGGAACCAGTCAGCCGTGGCAGCGCCGAGGTCAGGAGAGCCAGTGTGGGGAGGGGAGGCGCCCAGACAGGGCTGACTGTCCCTCCGTTTGACAGTGTGACTCCGTACTCTTTTGCTGTTGCTCATTTTTTTGTTTTGTTTTAACTAAACTGACTGTTTCTATATTTGCTGTTTGTTAGCTTCTTCTGCACATTACCCGATATCCAGGTGCACAACATAGTGATCTTTATGAGGTACGTTGCTCTCCTTCCTGTTCCACGGCCTCTGTATTTGAGTCTGGACCATGAGGCTGTGTGAGCTCACCACCTCCGCGCAGGAGAGCCTGTGTGACCCACAAGGCACCCAGCCAGAGAGGGGACGGGGCGCCTATGCCTTCAGGCACAGATAGAGTAAACTTTTGGTGTCCTCTGGATGCCGTGTCCAAACCCCATCACGAATTCCCAGACTCCCGGTGAACAATTAGATGTATAATGTTTTCTGTGAAACAAGGTCTAGTTCTGTGATCCCTTTAGAATCCTGACGAGACTAGTAAAGAACAGAAAGCTTCCTCCAGGTGTAAGTACTGAGCATTTGGCCAGACTGTCTCTCTAGCCACGCAAATTACCTACCACATATCATGGACCTTTAGGGTCACTCCTAGAACCATGACAAGGGTCTGCTGCAGACGTTTGAAATAGGAGAGTGTAGAGCAGGGGCGGGGAACCTTTTTCTGCCAAGGGCCATTTGGATACAGACAGTCCTCAGGTTACGTCGGACTCGACGTACGTCGTTTCGTGGTTACGTTGCCATCTCCCATTTATTTATAAAAAAAAAAAGTTCCGTCCTTTCTACGTTATGGACATATGTGCTTTATGTTTTTTATTATTTACTGTATTTACCACAAGTAAAGGCCAGGAATTGTTCTCTTTCTTTTAAATTTTTTTTTACTGTTTCACTTCATTACTGCTGTGTATGTGCTCCATGTGAGTGACGTAGGTGCTTATGTAGGTGGGTTCCGACTTACGGCGAAAATCGCGTTATGTGGCGCCGTAGACCCGAGGACCTACTGTATTTATAACATCATTCGAGGGCCATACAAAATTATCAACTTAAAAATTAGTCTGCTATATTTGGTCAAACATTTAATTAACTCACCCTAATGCCTTGGCAGAGCTGGACCAAAGGATTTTGCGAGTCTTATACGGCCAGAGGGCTGGACGTTCCCACCCCTGGTGTAGAGTGAGGTTTCCCAGCCTCGCACTATTGACATTTTGGCTGAGACAGTTATTTGTTGTAGGTGCTTTCCTGTGCATAGTAGGATATCTAATGGCATCCCTGGCCTCTGCTCACCAGATGCCAGTAACACCACCTCCCCTCCTCCGTTGTAACAACCCAGAATGTCTGCAGACATTGCCAGAAGTCTGTGTGGGGTAAAATCTTCCCCAGTTGAGAAATGCTTGTTTAGAATGTCACAGCATCTTGGTGGATGTAGAAAGACTCTCTGGGTTTCTGGTTGCATAACCATGAAAATATGTGTATGGGACACATGGATATTGTTGCCTGAGTTTGCAAGAAATTATTTGGGTAATTTTTCTTATTTCATCTCAAAAGCAGAATTAATTCTCCTTGGTTTCTTTTTCCTAGAACTTCAGTGAAGATTTCGTACATTGGCCACATGACCCAGAGCTCCTTGGAGACACATCACTATGTAGATTGTGGAACAAACTTCTCAGCTGTTTAGAAACTGCTTTTGGCTCTCCCACGGCAGCACCTGTCGGAAGAGACACCCCATCCGTTCCTAGGGCCTGCGTTCTGCACCTACCCAGGTGGTAGAAGTAGAGGAGAAACTGGTTCTCTGAATCCCCAGCAAACACCCGCCTGCTGCTTGGGAGGAAACCTCGCCTCTGTGGCCCCATTTCCGTTCCCTGAACCAGCGAATCACTGCCCAGTACCCACTCTGTGCCCAGCAAATAGGAGGCACTCGAGGTTTGAAGACTTTCATTCAGTTAGAATGTCACAGCATCTTGGTGGATGTAGAAAGACTCTCTGGGTTTCTGGTTGCATAACCATGAAAATATGTGTATGGGACACATGGATATTGTTGCCTGAGTTTGCAAGAAATTATTTGGGTAATTTTTCTTATTTCATCTCAAAAGCAGAATTAATTCTCCTTGGTTTCTTTTTCCTAGAACTTCAGTGAAGATTTCGTACATTGGCCACATGACCCAGAGCTCCTTGGAGACACATCACTATGTAGATTGTGGAACAAACTTCTCAGCTGTTTAGAAACTGCTTTTGGCTCTCCCACAGCAGCACCTGTCGGAAGAGACACCCCATCCGTTCCTAGGGCCTGTGTTCTGCACCTACCCAGGTGGTAGAAGTAGAGGAGAAACTGGTTCTCTGAATCCCCAGCAAACACCCGCCTGCTGCTTGGGAGGAAACCTCGCCTCTGTGGCCCCATTTCCGTTCCCTGAACCAGCGAATCACTGCCCAGTACCCACTCTGTGCCCAGCAAATAGGAGGCACTCGAGGTTTGAAGACTTTCATTCAGATCTTGCCAGCTGTGCTTGGAGATTATAAGCTGAAAGCACACCAGGATACGAGGTTAGAGAACCAGAGAGGGGCGTGAGGAGGACTGTCAGTGCAGCTGCACAGCTGTCATCAGGACCTCATCGCAGAAGAGGCAGCAGGGAGGGAACGTGTGAATACATAAAAGAAAGCGCAGACCATTCAATATGTGATTTTTTTTTCATCTGTTCCTCAATGCCTAGGAACTTAAAAACCTTTTTCTTGTAGAAATTTATAATTGTTTTTACTAAGAGTCTATGTGGGGCTTGATTAACCCTGCATCCATTGGCTGGAACATGGATTGGGGGTTTGGTAGGAAAATAAACCCTGCTTTTGATTCATCTGCGTCTTCTCTTGCCTGGATGTCTTAGACACCTCCGGGGGGCCGTGGATTAGGTGCCTGCTAAGTAGGTCAGCACAGGATGGGAAGGGAAGAGAAGAACCCCTGAGTGTGCCATCCCCGGAGGCTCTTATCATAGAGAACAGCCTCACTTTTCCTGGTCTCTGGTCGTGACGCGCTGCCCTATTGCTCTTCCGAAACAGAGCACTTAATGCCCCCTGGAGGTTGGAAGAGGTAGGGCAGAGATGCCTAAGGAGTGAAGCTGCTTCTTGGGGCTGAGTAACTTCCCCACCACCACCACCCGGACCCACTGGCTGTCGTTCTGATGAAAGCGGCCTGGTTTGAGTTTGAAAGTTTCTTGAACTGGCTCCTAGCTACAACCACCAAAGTGGGCTCTAGCCCCATTGTGGGAAGCTGGAGTAGTCGGGTTTCAGACCTCAGCTGACGTAGCCTTGTATTATCAGCAAATGGCTTTTGACCAGTAAAAAGAGAGAAATTATTTAGTGAATGAGTTATATGATTTATTAAATGATGAATCACAATGACTACAGTCTTTTTTTTCTTTTGTTAATCCTCACCTGAGGATATTTTTACATTGATTTTTAGAGATAGTGGAACGAAGAGGGGGAGACGGAGAGAGAAAAATATCTATCTCTCATAAATTGGTTGCCTCCCGCACGTGCCCCGACCAGGGCCAGGGATCCAGCCTGCAACAGGCAGAGATGCCTAAGGAGTGAAGCTGCTTCTTGGGGCGGAATAACTTCCCCACCACCACCCGGACCCACTGGCTGTTGTTCTGATGAAAGGGGCCTGGTTTGAGTTTGAAAGTTTCTTGAACTGGCTCCTAGCTACAACCACCAAAGTGGGCTCTAGCCCCATTGTGGGAAGCTGGAGTAGTCGGGTTTCAGACCTCAGCTGACGTAGCCTCGGGAAACCCTAACAGCAGCAGGTGGTGGCAGGGGTCAATATTAGTCCTCATGCCCATAGCTTCATCTTCAATATTTGCTCATTGATTTTGACACTGAATCTTTTTTTTCTTTTGTTAATCCTCACCTGAGGATATTTTTACATTGATTTTTAGAGATAGTGGAGGTAGAGGGAAAGACAGAGAGAGGAGCATCGATGTGAGAGAGACATATATTGGTTGCCTCCCGCACGTGCCCCGACCAGGGCCAGGGATCCAGCCTGCAACAGAGATACATGCCCTTGACTGGAATCGAACCCAGGACCCTTCAGTCCTTGGGGACTACGTTCTATCCACTGAGCCAAACCGGCTAGGACAACACTGAATCTTTTTTTTAAAATATATTTTATTGATTTTTTTATAGAGAGGAAAAGAAAAGGGACACCACAGTGGGAAGCTGGAGTAGTCGGGTTTCAGACCTCAGCTGACGTAGCCTCGGGAAACCCTAACAGCAGCAGGTGGTGGCAGGGGTCAATATTAGTCCTCATGCCCATAGCTTCATCTTCAATATTTGCTCATTGATTTTGACACTGAATCTTTTTTTCTTTTGTTAATCCTCACCTGAGGATATTTTTACATCGATTTTTAGAGGTAGTGGAACAAAGAGGGAGAAACGAGAGAAAAATATCTATCTCTCATAAATTGGTTGCCTCCCGCATGTACCCGGACCAGGGCCAGGGATCCAGCCTACAACCGAGATACATGCCCTTGACTGGAATCGAACCCAGGACCCTTCAGTCCTTGGGGACTACGTTCTATCCACTGAGCCAAACCAGTTAGGGCCACTGAATCTTTTTTTAACTAAGGCTAAATTTTGTGACTGCTTTACTGACATTGACCATGATTGAGTAACCACACGCTAAGAGCTGAGAGCTGAGTTTCAGTGTTACACTGGGTCCTTTAATTGTCTGTATGATCACAGTAGTGATGACTGTTCTGTATATTGACGATGGGACAGGACTTGCACGGAAGCAAATGTACACCGTTTCTGAGAATGCTGCCCTACACGCGTGAAGATGTTCACCTTGTGACATTTCCTCTTTAATTTTCCCATTTTCCAAATAGCTTCTAGTGCATATTTTTATGTAACAAATGTACACCGTTTCTGAGAATGCTGCCCTACACGCATGAAGATGTTCACCTTGCGACATTTCCTCTTTAATTTCCCAAATAGCTTCTAGTGCATATTTTTATGTACTTTTGGAAAAACTACTCATATTGGTACTTAAGTTTCAATGATTTTTGTGGCTGTGCTTCAATCGCATTTCTTGCTTCTCAGTATTACCTTTAAATCCAGCTGCGATGTTCAAATGAAAGCACTTAATTGTTTTAAACAGCAGTAAGTCTGACCTCGTAATGCTCTGAAATCTCATACCTGTTTACATCCTTAGCCCCCACGCTGCACTGTGGGATACGCTGCATAGTCGTGCCAGGCTGTCCGTCAGTTCTTGAACAAATGCGTGCAGTTTGCTCTCGGCAACACCAAAATAGGAAGGGGAAGTGGCTGGCTCAGCTGTCATTGCCATCATCATCGTGTTTCTAGTGGACTGAAATTTGGAAAGAATGTGCTTCTTGAAAACGAGACATACTCTGAGATCTCTTTTTCTCTGTAGCTTCCTGCTTGGCCTCTACTGTGACCCCTTTTTTGCTCTCAAACTACTTACGCTGTGTCACCTGGTTGAAATCTCCACTGGTTCATTTACTCATTCCAAAAAGGTATTTATTGAGCACCTGCTGTATGCTAAGGATTACATTTTCTGATGTGTTTTGTCCAGAGTTATAGCTAGAAGTTTAAAACATCATCACAAGCCTTTTGTTTTAGATAATTTTATTAAACGTTTTTAATGTTGACATAATTGAAGGTGTCCCCCTTTTCCTGCCCTTTGCTCTCCTTTGTTTACCCTCACTTCCCCCTCCCTTGGCCTTCACCAAACTATTGTCTGTGTCCAAAAATATTGAACGCTTCACGAATTTGCATGTCATTCTTATGCAGGGACCATGCTAATCTCTATCCTTCCAATTTTTTAGTATATGTGCTGAGAAAGCGAGCACCATCACAAGCCTTTTATACTCACCAGGCCCCATCTCTTCCTTAACTCTAGTTACCCCAAAGTAGGGTCCCCTCAATCTCCGGGTCAACTGTCTAGGAATTCTAGCCCCAAGTGTGAAACATCACTGAAAGAACCAGCCTATTTGTAAATGCTCTCCATGAATCCTAGGGGTTCCCAAATATTTCCTCTGCTCAAAATAGTCCTTATTCTTTGCCTTTATAAGATTCTTCAGTAAGATTCTTGAGAGCACCCTTTTAAGATTCTGTGTTCCTTTACTTGTTTAGAAGGGGAACTATTTCAGAAGTTGTTCTGAAATTTACCCTGGATCTAAGGAACTTGAGTAAGTCTTGGCTGGAGCAGACTCCTGACTCCCCGTTAAAAGCCTTCAGACACTTCGGTAGAGCTGAGGAAGCTCGAGAGGAAAAATAACCCGACTGAGGCCTCACAATTAGTAAGCCATGTCTGTCTGCCCAAGCCTACTGGGGGTCAGGATTTTCTATGAGAGGTTATTCTAACTGGACAGACCTTCTGCCTTTCCTGGGGCATTCTGGATCACAGGAATTAGTATGAACCTGGTTACTCTCACCCCCTCTGGGCCAGGTTGGGACAAGGAAGCATCAGTAAGTAGCACATTCACTGCCAGCCAAGGTGGTGCATTTCAATTTGACCACACACAGGCAAGGTTCTCTGTTCCTCTGCTTCTCTTCCCTTAAGCTCTACCTCGGTTCACTCCCCAATTACCATGCAACAGTTACTACAATTTCTAGGTTTAACCAGGTACCCAGGAAGTGTGTGGGCTGCGAGGGATCACCTTTATATCCTGGTGCAAATGGGACTTCACTTATCAAGGTCTGAGCTGCTTTAGTAAGAATAAGTAACTCTGCCCTGGCCAGTGTGACTCAGTTGATCGGGCGTTGCCCATGCACCAAAAGGTTGCCTGTTCCATTCCCTGTCAGGGGACATGCCCAGGTTGCAGGCTTGATCCCCTGTAGGGGGCATGCAGGAGGCAGCCAATTGATGTTTTGCTCTCACTTCGGTGTTTCTCTCCCTCTAAAAATCAATAAACTATTATTTTTTTAAAGGAATAAGTAGCTCTGATGCCACTGTGGGAAGCAAAGTGAGCTAGGAAGCAGAATGGGCTCTTGGAGTGTGGTTGACAGGTTCAAACCAAACTCAACTCTTCATTTCCACCTATTGTCTAAGGAAATATTTTAATAAGCATCTGTACACCTCACTGCTCTCCCCTTGGCTCCCATTAGCTCTCTTGATAGATGGAAGGGTTGTTTATTCTAAATTATGAACTAGCCCTCTCTAGTGGAGAAGGTGTCAGCTTCCTCATTTTTGCCACATACACAAGTCATTGGAAAGCAAGGGACACCTGATGGTAAGGAGAGATGAGAGGCTGTCTGTTCATAAGCCCGCTGTTGGGAGGAAGTGCAGAGAAGCTTTAAATGTAGGTCCAGGAAGTATAGAATGGGGGGACAGAGGTACAGGGGCGGGAAAGAGGAATAGGGGTGGGTTAAGTGTTCAACACTCCCACCTCTCCTTGATCTAAAAGTCTTGGAAAAAGACATAAATAAGTAGGTCACCAAGATTGCCTGATTGTGTGTCCTTAGCATGGGCCCCCCAAAGATTCCCTCCCCTCTCCTTCCCCACTCTCCACACCCCCTCCTCCCTCAGGAGCATCTTCAACCTCACCCGCCCAGCAAGATGTAGCCCACACATTGTCCCATCCTCTGAGCTCGGAGCATATCATTTCCCTTGCACTAATCTACGCAGAGTCCTGTGCCGTGTTTACTGTCATCCCTCCTTTGTCCCTCCCTTCCCAAATCTTGGTCTCTAGCCCCAGTTCACCCCTGGGTTCCACACAGTGCCAAGGTTGACAAAAAGAGGCAAGTCTGTGTTCATGTGAGGTCACTAAACCAGGCAGTGTGGCTCAGTGCCCGCCCTTTGGTTGAAAAGTCAACAAAAGAAAGCCTTCAGATGGCCATCTGGTCACGCCTGGAGAACAAAGACTAATGGGAAATAAAGAACAAAGCTCGAGTCCATACATACTTTCCAATAATTTTTTTTGTTTTTAATATCAATCGATGTTTTAAAAAATACAGAGGTGTTTGACACAGAATAGCACCATTGTGTAGGACACACAGTTCCTGTGCCCGGCACCCGAAGTGGGTCTTCTTGCCTGGGCTGGGGGGCAGTCACTCAGGGGGCGTTTGACTCTCACCAGTTAGTTTCCTGTCTCTGCTTTGACCCAAAGGTCTTACAGGAAGACAATAAATAAATAGAACACCGAGATTTTATTTTGCAGTCTGCCCAGTTCAGGTCTCTTAGAAAGAGAGGGGAGAAAATCCAAACTGTGAAAGGGTGGGATGAATGGACATCAGGTCAGGTCGGCCATTCAGTGCAGAGTCCTAGAGTGACTGGGGTTGGAAAGTACTTGGGTCCTTTGGGTTTGCAATGGATTGTGTTGTTTCTGGGTTCGGGTTTTTACAAGAAGCAGACAGGCCCTATGTCCACACCAAATTCCTGCTCAGGCCCTCCTATGTCCATGGGTGCAATGTCAATGATGGGGAGGCGCGAGGTCTTCTGTGACCGGTACTCGATCATAGTCTTGCCCCACTTACCGGTGTGTTTCTGGAGAAGAAAGAGAGGAGACACTATTCAGTGATACCTTGAAATCCAATGCCAGCTGCCCAGGACCCCAACACCGAGCATCACAGAACACAAAGTGAAAAACACACTTGGTGCTCCTTAGACCTCTTCTTGGCTGGCCAGAACCCTCTCCACCTCTACTCCTGCCCTTCCCAGCAGGGCCTCCCTTCTCCTCCTTCCCACTCCCCGCAGTGAGCTCCCCGCCTGTGACCCCCTTGTCATTCCATCTCATAGTCAGCCCATGAACATTACAGGAATCCTCCTACAAGAGTCTTTGGACACACTGGGTAAGGTCTTATTTCCCTTGAGCCAAGGAGAACAGCATATACCTCTCCCCCACCTGTCACTCTGCATGTCTTCTCTACATGGCACACACCTCTGATGAGTCCCTCACTTTAGGACCATGACATCTGCTGGGGGCCAACCCTCCGCCCGCTCAGCCTGAATCCTGGGCCCTGGGCAGCTCATGTCTCTAGCAGCTCCAGCAGCCGACTCACCGTGCAGCCATCCTTCAGCACCGTATACGTGAACCTGCTGTTGCCCTCAGCCCGGATCTCCACATCATTGGAACCCTGGATGAGCAGGGCCTTCTTGAGGTTGCCAGCTGCTTCGTCCAGGTAGGCTATGCTGTTCTTGCAGTGGTAAGTGATGTTCTGGGAGCCTTCAGTGGACAGCAGGCGCAGGAAGGTCATCTGGACGTTGGCAGTGTTGGGAGCCAGGTTGTCATCCCCGTAGCTGAACTGTTAGGGCAGAGAGCAGTGGTGTGAGGCCTGGGGGTGACCTTCAATGGGACCAGGGGCTCCAGGGCCCAGGGTTCAGAGGAGCTGAAGGGGGTTGGGGGAGCAGGTCAAGGGAGGATGGTTTTGCTTCCAGGGTGTAGAGCAAGCCTCCAAAGACCTCTTCCTCCACCTCTAAATGGGAGAAAATGCTATTCCTCCTCCTTCCTTCCTTGTGGCCCCAGAGAAAAC